TTAACTTTTCCCAAAATTTGAGTTATAAACTCTCCACTTTAATTTGAAATTAGATTTAAATTACTAATTAATTCAAACACAAACAAGTCATTTTATGTTCCTTAGGTCAGTGATTACGACTTCTGTCGAACTTACATGCCGATTAAGAATTCAAATCAGCACATTAATATTCTCCGAGAAATGATCGATAATATTCGATTATATTGGTCTCTCATTTCCGAGAATAAAGTAAAAAATTCACGCTATCATCTTTAGGTGGGATAGAAATAATCCGAAATCTTAATTTTTCCATACACAGATAAGAAATTGACGTGAGACCAATCTTTTAAAAATGATGAGTTTCAAAAGTTATCTCTCTTTCTCTCTGTCTCTCTCAACTATTTACTGTTATAGTCATCACAGCATAAATAAAATACATATGTTATTTATCAGCCGAATAAAAAAAAATTATCTAAATTCAAAAATTGTCTCTTCCGCGAATTCATCACTTGTCAGCTGCTTTCAACTCAACAAAAACTCTACGCTCCCTAATGAAGAAATTAAAATTAAACCTCTCAAGCGCAAAGACCTCTCTTTTAAATTTAAGAGCCTCTCTCACTCTCCAATCAGACAAAACCAAAGCAGTAAAAAAAAATGATCAAAAAAAAAAAATCAAAAAAAGATCGAAAAAAGATCTTAAAAAAACGAACTCTAAATCAAGTTGTCAAACTGATGACAGAATAAATATTTCTTTCTTCCTAAGTCCCCTGTCGAATAAAGAGAAAAATTACGGAAAATTCAATAGTGGTATCAATAGAAGAAGAAGAAGAAAGTTTCGATATATTGGGGTCAGAAACAAAAAGAGGGGAATAGAAATAATACAAAAGTAAAGGGAAGTAAGTAATTTACGTGGAACTCGAGCGTTTTCACTCGAAATGGAATTCAAGATTCCGAAAATTCAAAGCTGCTGCTACTGCAGTCGTCGTTTCGCGATGGCAATCGAGCGTATTTGTTATTCGTTAGACAAGCCTGCGATTTTGCACTTCTCGCGATAAATCACCGTTACGCCGTCTTTGCCATTCGCATGCGTTGTAAAATCAACGAGGCATTTAAATCAGATGTTTTTACGACCTCGATAATGGCTCGCCTATTCTCTATGACAGTTCCGCTCTTTCATATCAAAATCGCAAACAAGAAACGTAAAAGAAAGATAAAAAAAACGAGAAAGAAAGAGGAAAAAGTCGTTAGAGAAAGAAAACTAGTGATGATACACTAAAAGTATACTCAAACCTTCGCTTAAAATAGCAAACATCAAATCAAAATATGTCAAGAGTTTATTAATCAAAATATGTCAAGAGTTTATTCGAAATAATTAAGATAACAAACTAAAACTGTTTTATCTAACTAATACTCTACAACTTAAAATAGTTCAAATTCCCTTAAGAAACATTAAGGAACATTAAGGGCCAGTTTCAACCAATTCCGATTAAAAGTTAATCAATTAATGTCAGTTTAACCTTTTATGATTGGTTGGTTAAGGATTTAATCATTGATTAACTTTTAATCGGAGTTGGTGAAATCGGACCTATATTTTCCTTAAGGGAATTTGAAACTGTTAAGTCGTCACAGTTTTAGAACAAATCCGTTACCAAAAATTTAGGAGAAGGACTAAAACCCAGCCATTTTTTGCTTGGGGAAAAAAACATTTCCTGAAATTCGCAAAAGTGATGTATCGTACGAATAAATCTCTGACTTGAAACAAACATTTCTCCCTAATCGTGAAATTTTTACGACATTGGCCATGGCACGTGTCCTTATAACAAAAGCTCATTTCCGTGAATACAAATACAATTTTTTCATCGAGTGCTAGTTTTATTTTTCTCTTTTTTTTATTTAAAAATACGTAAACGTTCCAATGACATTGGCCTCTTATACATTATCATTTTATTCTTTTCCTTCCACGAAGCACAAGTGATTTTTTTTTGTCGCACATGGTTCGTCGACAAGTATTATTTGAATTGCATTTTTCTTCCTTGAAAAAAAAAATAAAATTTTTTTCGCCACACACTAATACCTAATGCGAATTTTCGTTTCGAGAAATAATCTTTCTCTCTACTTTGAAATGAGTCATAAATAATATCTCTCTCCAGTCCCAAAGAGGAATACAAAAAAAGAAAAGAGAATTGAATAATTCCACTAAATTTGAGTTTAGAGAGGCAGAAGATGAGATAAATAAAAATTCGTGGAAGGTCCGATTGAAATATTCTTTCTCTCTCTTCTCTCGAGATGAGGATTGTTTCCTGCCATCTTTGGGAAGCCTCGTGCACCTGACTGTACAAAATTGGAACTCAAGTATGAGGAGGTCCATTGGGACAAAAATTGTATTTGACCATGAGACTGAAAAGACTGTGAAAAGAGGGACTTAGTCCCCGGTGCTACCTGGCTTCGACTTCTCGACAACAATTATTATCCTCAAGAAACGTCATGGAGAGAGAGAGAGAGAGAGAGAGAGAGAGAGAGAGAGAGAGAGAAACTCTCTCACTCTCGCAACTGGTACGAGTGTCCATCTCTCACAAACGTAACACAGGAATGCAGAGGGAAGAAGATGGAAGAGAGAGAGCTTTTTCTTGGTAATACAACTCCAGACGCGAGTGGGAGTCTTCAGGGAATCTCGCATAGCTGTTTCATTTTCCAAGAGAGAAAATGATGAAGGAGGCTATAAACAAAAAGAGAATCTATCGAGAAAAACTATGAGAGAAAGTATCTTTTCTCACTATCAATCGGCCCATGAACACAGTCCTCCTGATCAAAAATATGTCACATCAAATATTGTATCGAGAATATATTTATTCAATCCGTATTTCAATGACCTAGTTCCGGTTTTTTAAAAACTAAACATCCTGACACTCTAAATCTGACTCAAAATTTCATCAGTGAAAATTTCACACTGACATAATTCAGCACTGTAAAAAATAGGTCTTGTTTTAAACCTGATTTTGGATCGAATATCTTACATTAGTCCAAAGATTGACTAAATTTCTGTTTAGAAAACTGATTTTAAGACCTAAAATCGACTTATTATTATTTTAAACCCAAAAATGTGTTGAATTTTTAGAAAAAACACGTTTCAGCTGTAAGTACTTTAAGACTTCCTTAAGTTTTGAAATATGAACCAAAACATTTCGCCTTTCGATATTTTCCCATTTATTGGAAGTATTTTAATGAGAAATTAAAAAAATTTAACAATTTTCAAATAAAGAATTTGTTTCCTAATGTGCAAATTAATATTTTGTACCAAAATTCAAAAAAATTCGTTTCTTTAAACGTTCAGAACATCATCATCTCTCTCAATTTAAATCAGTTCAAAGTAACAGATTTTTTGGAAGTAAAAAATAAAGTCACTGATTCAAATAGCAATATTTCTACTGATTAGTTAAAAATAACTGATTGACAGTAGAACATAAATGATTATCAGTTAAAAACAACTGATTTTTCACTAATAAACCACAGTGTTTCCAAGGATATCAAATTGAGACAAAAAAGTATCAAAATTGTTGCATCACAACAATTTTGATCGTTTTTTATGTCTCAATTTGATATCCTCAGAAAAACTGTAATTTTCTACTAATTTATTAGTAAAATTGACTAATTCAAAAGCAAAAAGTCAGAAACTGATTGAAATTTAGAGACTACAATATTTAATTATTTGTTTACAATTTTAAATACTTTTGTTTAGTAGTTTTAATACCTTTTTTTACTAAAGTTTTAATGAAACATGTCTAATAATACAAAAAAAAATCTTACTATTGTTAATTAGTGGAATAATTGGCACTAATTCAAATTCAGAGAGGCGATAAATATGTCACTAATTATAATTAGTGAAGATGTACTCTCAATTACTGAAAATTCACCAATTCATCAGTTAAATTTCTATTAACTAACTAAATAAAGGGAAAATTTAAAAAGAATTAAATTAAAATTGAATTAAAGAGAAAATTTTCAAACAATTAAATTAAAATCAAATTAAAAAGAAAATTTAAATTTAAAGCAAACAAAAATAATTATTGCCATGAACATATGAAATCTTGCTAATTTAAATTTATACAGAGTAATGACCTAAGAAAACAAATTTCAAATTTCAATCATCACTATTCTTTTTTATCCAAAAATATAATAAAATTCCATTATCGAAACGAGTAACGCAATATAATCGAGGTGCAATAGAAAATTGCATATATAAATAACTATTCTTTTGATAAATATTGAACATTTCTGAAAATCGTATATGGAAGCTAAGAGAAAATACACTTGCAAAGGAAAAAAAATCAGAATTGGAAAGTTTCTAGGAAACAATTATGCAATATTTTCAAAGTAAAGAGGCACTTTTTTTTTCTTCTTTAATAAATCGATTCACATTGGCTTTAAGGATTTTTCAACATAAATCAATGTAAATAGAAGCTTTGAAAATAATAAGCATTTGGTGCACGTGCATGTAACGAGCATTAGACATATCCGGTCAATCGAACAAGCCTCGTATTACGGAAATGCATTGAGGCTTGTAAAACATCTCAATTTCCGGTTTAGAAATAATAGTCCTTGAAAAAAACACATATATATACAAGGAACAATCGTTTACTATTAATCACACCTTTTTACAATTTTAATTGACTTCGTCTCGACTCTTACAAATCGGTCATAAAAAAAATTTCTTCTTACAATGGAGACAAATTTTTTAATTATTTCTCCGCATTTTTGTGGGAAGAAAAAAAGTTTCCACGTAAAATTAGAAATAAAAGTGGTCAGAGACCGTCGAGAATAGAAAAAAGGGACCTGGTTCCGACAATTTCAGACTTCCAAGAAACAGATTTTCTCGGGAGGTTTCAACAGTTTTGTGTAAGGTCAAAAAAAAAAAACTTTTCGCACTAGACAAACATTTCTACTTATTTTTACATTATGTGTGCCAAAAATTTTTTTTTTTAGGGAAATTCAGAGTTTATTTTCAGTTAACAAGACGCTCTTACCTCTATGAAAGCGTCTTTTTCACGCTGGCAAATAGTTTCTCAGACGATGATTGGCTTTAATCCAAACTATATAATGTATCACAATGTTACAATCTCTCTCTGAAGAGAAAGTGTATTCAAGTTCCACAAATGTTCTTTGAAAAAATAAATAACGGATTTCTCTTTTAAATTCAATTGAATTTTCAATTGAAAAAATTCACTTTTTACTAAATGAGATTTTAATTTGTCAAAAAAGAGAAAAAAATATTTAATTTTATTAAACTTTATCCAAAATGGTGAAAATTAGAAAAAAGTTTTTTTTTCATGAAGAATAATTCAACACTATTTTCACATATAAATCCACATTTTCGAATGTCAAAAATGATTTTTTAAATTAAAAAAACTACACACACAAAATTAGACGTTGTCCATCGACTGCAATCGACTGACGCAAACTGACGGCTTGCCTCGAGAGTGAATGAATCTATTGCTGCACGTGACGCTTGGAGGGGGGAAAAAGCACGAGGGATCGTGGGAGGAGAGAGCGACAGTGGTGGGGGAAATCATAGAAACCTAGAGGGAGGGGGGGGGGGCACGATGCAATATTTTAATTGTAATTACAAGAAATTATCACTAAAAAGTAAAAACAATTAACATTATTGTGAAAAAATTATTTTCGATTATTTTTTAATGTTTTGATTAAATTAAAAATATAATTTACTATAATTTTTATTTTATTATTAAAACTGTATTACCTATTCACTATTATTATTAAAATAATGTTATTATTATTAAGTGAATTTGAACCGTTATGACGTCACAGTTTTAGAACAAACGTTTTGTACAAATTGTAACATCATAATGGTTCAAATGCCCGTAAGATAATATTATTATTTTCATTGTTGATTTTTATATATTATTTATTAAATAATAATAATATTATTTTTTTTCTATTTTACTTTCATTATTTATCTCCTTAAAAATTTGAACGTTCAAGTGAACGACGATTTATTTTCATATTTTCTTAAAATTTGAATTTTGTCAAAAAATATTTTATTGTTAATTTAAAAAATTAATTCATTTCTATAAATGTTGAATTTATTTTGTTTTGAATTTTTGTTAGTAATTTTTGAATATATTTCAAATAGAAAGAAAATTTCACTTATTTGAACATCTAGGATTTCAGGAAAATTTTTTTTTTATTAATATTATTATATCATATTAAATTAAAAACTTAAATAATAATATTTCCAAAAAATAAATTTTTTCTGAAATTTTGGACGTTCAAATAAGTGAAATTTTTTTTATATTTAAATATACTCAAAAATTACTAAAAATAAAATTTAAAAAAAAAATAAATCCAGCATTTATAGAAAGGAATTAAGTTTTTAAATTAACAATAAAATATATTTTTGGACAAAATTTAAATTTTAACGAAATAGGAAAAAATCGTCGTTCACTTGAACGTTCAAATTTTTAGGGAGATAAAATAATAATAAAAATAAAATAGTAAATCGAATGCAGTATTTCATAAATATAAATATTTTTGATGAAATCATTCTTTCCTTGTTAATCAACAATTTGAAAATTATTTTAAGAACTAAAATTAAAATGAGAAAAATATTCACAATTTCCATAAAATAGAAAAAAAGCATAAAACCAAGTAATTTGAATAAAATATTAAAACTTGAGTTACGTCACTTTGAGGGTTAACAATATAAAAAAAGTATCTCTCCTTATGTCACAAAACCTCCAACAATAGGAACAATTTTTTCCTTGTTAAAAATAGAAACTTATTCTTTTGAATTTTTTTTACATTAAAAAAATGTACAATTACTTGGAATTATTTTAACAATGACATAATTGTAAGAAAAAAAAAATTACATATGCAATCAAGCAAATGAATGTAGTAATAGGTAAATGAAATTTCAAAAGAAACTAATATTAAAAAATAAGAAAATATAAATTTTATATAGACAATATAATTCTAAGAATAAATTGTGATTGACCCCCATATTGGAAACTCATAATTATTTAATATCCTTCGAGAAATGTCATTAGCTATTCATATTTAAAGTATATAAGACAAGCTGCAATAATTTTATAACGGAACTCATTTGATTATATTTTACGACATACTAATACATAAATACTAAACGATAATGAAATAATGATGTTTTTTTGATTTGATCATTTCAATAATAATTACTGTGATTTATTCCGCGAAATTCTTAACGAGGAAAGAATGAATTTTTTATTTACATCATTCTCATAATATTAATTTACAATTAATGACAATTGTGAGAATTCGTTAAATTTATTCTTAGGAAATGAAAATTATCATGAAATTCTTGGAAAGTGGAATAGAAAATTATAAATTTCATAAAACAAATAAATGTTTTCTCTTTTTAAAACAAGTATTAATGTTTATAATTTCATCATTAAAAAAAACTTAAAAAAAAATTTCTTGATCAAAAAATGAAATGAAATAAAAATCGAAATAGGTTCTCAGGATATAAAATTTTTGTTTTAATAATAAAATCGAAAATAGTTTGATATGCAGTTATGCACATAAGTTCGATTCTTGCTGAATAGATAAAAGTTTAGTATTACAAAATCTAAGTAAGTAAGTAAGAAAAATCTCTTGCAATAAAAAATATTGATTTAGGAAATATGTTTCAAGAGATGTGAAATATTAATTTCGTGTATGTTGCGCTCTCTCTCTCTCTCTCTCTCTCGTCAAAATAAAGATTGGATAATAAGGTAAAAAGCTCATAAAGAAGATTTCTAAGGTTCCGAGAAACCATAGTACTTAACTCTTCGAAGAAAGAATCCGAGAGCAGACGAAAAGGGGACGAAAAGTAGATGAAAATAGTCCTTCTCTCTCTTTGGAGCTTGTTAAACCCTTCATGATTACACTATTCCCTGAAGTTGCAAGAATCCTCGAAAATGGACATCTCGAATTTCTATTTTCGAAGAAATCGAGAGATACTCGGAAAGTGACTTTCATCCGGGAGGATCCAGGTGTTAGTTTTGGTCCACGAGAGAGTTTCATGTTTACCGGATATTCAAACAACATCTGTCCTTCCTTTTTTTACCCCTCAAACTCCGTACTTCCACATTTCATGGAAAGAGACGATGACTTTTCACCGAATTACAAAACATTTGACACAATTTCATTTCTCAACATTATCAATAGCATTTGTTTGAAAAATGACTCGAACAAATTGAGAAATTAAATTATTCATGAGATTGTAAATTGTACTATGGATAACAATTTTGTATGACAAATTGATTTTTTAGAAGAATATTTACATCGCAACAAGTAATGAAAAGAATATTGTTCGAGTACATCTAAACTAAAGGTTGAAATAGAAATTTTTAAAGGTGTCACTGCTTTTTTTAATCCAGCCCTTTCATTCTTCACTCTCATGCATTTACGCCATCGCCATCTCGACAGCCATCTTTCAAAAGGAAACACGAGACAGGCGTGTCTAGATCACGAATCTTTGAGAAGGAAACCTTGACATGATGCTGGAATGTCGTCTCGTATCGAATTTCAGATCCGATATGAATCCCTTGAAATATTATTAATCACACTTGAAATATAATAACAAAAGTACCAGCCGCAGTCTTACGAAGCGCAACTAAAATAAATTCTTATATCACGGTACAAAAAATTTTTGATTCAAGAAAATCTTGATCTATCTTAAACCTAAGAAGTGGATGTCCCAGTTACCACCCACATTTCAACAATAATTTTAAAATTATTTATTATTTGATTCGTTTTTTCGTCTCAATTTGAAATCTGCAGAAATACTATATCGATGCTGAGCGACAAAATACATTTTTTCCCCTAAATCGAAAAGAATCAAACAATTACTAAGTTTTAGGTTCATAACAAAGTTCGTTGACATCCACACTATCTTCAATTTATCAGAATTACAAAAAAACTATTCAAACAAAAAATAAAATTCTAAATTATAGAAAAAAATAAAATAAAATGGCCCAAAAATAAAGATCGAAAGTCTTTCACGTTATTTATAGTCAACACACAAAAACTAAAAATTTCCAAGAATATGTATTAAAAGCTGATTGAATGAGAACCAATATTTGAGGAGAGTTCGACAAATATGTACCGTAGATAATGCACTATCATTGTATATGGAAAATTGGAACAAGAACGCATTAAAATTATATTGATAGAAATGTCAAAAGAACTTTGCTATGCATATACTTGAAAAAAAAATGCTTAAATAACAATTTCAAGGAAGAAGATAAGCGTGACTGCATAAGAACAGCTTTCCATCAGAAGACAGGTGAATATAAGAAAGAGAGAGAAAGAGAGAGCAATTCTCTATTGGACCAGGTGAAATTATTAAAGCCTCACAACAATGCGGTTCAAATTTCTATACAAGATCTAAAAGATAAAAATTTCATATATATATATAGCAAACCACGTATATATAATACCTTGTACCATAAACTAAAACCAAATCCTTTATTTTTTCAGAAAAAAAAAGAAATTTGTAGTGTTTCAAAATGGGGGTGAAAATTGACCTCAGAAAATAAGAATATTCTGAGTAGGCAGAAATTTAATTAAAGAGACAATTTTAACCTGGAAAACATGGAAAAGTCAGGGAATTTGAAAAGAGCAATGCGTGGCAATCCTTATTAATGACGAACTACAAACTTTAGTATAAATATTTGCTAAAAATATTTTCATGGAAAAAGTAAAGAACTGCGTGAAATAGTTTAACAACGAACTTACTTTTTGTGAATAGAGCCAGAGGGTAACCTAATCTTGTATATAAAGTCTATCTCGGTATAAAATCGCAAGATTCTGCTGAACTGAAATTCTGTTGATGTACATGAATCGTACGGACATATATGCTAGGTGTAAGACTCATTGTGTCGTTCTATCTATGACTCATGACCAGGTGTTCGCTGTTCAACATATGCCGTGACCATCATATATCTATATCTATATATACAGTTCTCCCGCATCATCGTTAAGGAAGATTCTTTTTTCAATCGAGAACCGGGAATGTATGACCCCTGCAGCAACCCACACGTGCAGATGTGATTCTTTCTGAATTGCACTTATGGGATTTGTACGACACGAGACTTGAACACACAACTTCCTACACATTACCCTATTGCACGTTGCATAGGACATGTTACATGCTCCAGGAAACTAAAACTACACGTTTATTCGCTCTTCCGTGTTCTCTGAAAAATTTTTGCAAAAAAAGAGAGAGAGAGACAAGAAATTGTCCAGGTGTATACAATATATATTCTCTTCCGGGAATATAGGTTTCGTTTTAAAACTGCGGACACAGCATTATTCTCAGAATATCTTGGTGAAGGTCAATATTGAATATTGACCGAAAAAAAAAAATCATTTTCTTCGAAAAAATAAAACCTTACTTTCTCCACGGTGTATTATAATAA